TTTGTTTTTTGCGTTTCAATTTCGTCTTCTCACATTCGTCATTATAAACACAAACTGCCAACCAAACCATTAAATATTAATCAAATAAACCACTCCATTTCTTTTTTCTGGTGGTAAACTAATGGCATCATATATTTTCAGTTTGAAGTAAATTAATGACTCAAACTACGAACCAACCATTAATCAATAGCAACCAAATTCTTCGGCCATTTGTTGTCTTCGTTCTTTTTCTTTTCCATACAAATTTATTGTCTAATCAAATTCGTTTTAATAAAAATAGCATAAAGATGTTGATTTGCGATTTTAAAAGTTCACTAACTATGTTACAATTTTTAACTCATCAGTCCATTTATGCTCAGAGTGATGACCAATAATATGCTAACTTTTGATTTTCAAAACAATGTTAATTATTTTTCGTTTCATTTAATCAAAACTATGCTCATTATTCATTTCCACCTAACATGTTGGGCTTATAATGATCACACGAACAAATAAAAAGAGTTGGTGCATAAGTTTAACTGTAACCAACTGTCTATTAATGGACGTTGGTCATTAAAATATACATTTGACATTTAGTTTTTACAAAATTGTATTTTCAGATTTCTTTTTTCATGTCCAAGAGAGACAGGTAGCAATTTCTTTAATGCATTTCCCTATAAGTTTTATCGGTCAATTTAGTTTCTTGTCTCTCATGTTATACTCCATCAAATTTGCATTTTCTTTAAATTACATTTATTTATTTATCATTTGGGTTTTCTTATATGCTTCTCAATTTGACACGTGTCCATAAAAGTAGACAGAGAATCTTCGTGTTGCATTTCCTCAGAATTAGATGGACTCTTTATTGCTCACTTAGCTATTTAATGAAATGGCCGATCGAAACATTCATTTATTTCAACCATAGATTACCACAAACCTTTATAAGAGAAACTCGTATATCTACATATAGACATATTACATACAAAGTGACTAGAGTTCTACTATAAATTTTGTTTCAATATACATTTACAATTTATCTTAATGATGGATAGATTTTGGTCATGGAGATTGTTTGTTGCTCTCTCTCTTTTCCTCCATTCTCCAATTTGTTCTTCTGACAAAGGTAATTTCATATACATATATAGGCTCTTATAAGGATTTGTACACATGCATGTTAGTGTGAAGTTAGAGTTTTACCCTTTTTTATCGCAGCTCCGAACTACTCCTTCATGAGGGACGCGACAGGGACTCCAACGACGTCGTACTACGACTACATCATCATCGGTGGTGGGACCGCTGGGTGCCCTCTAGCCGCAACGCTATCTCAAAACGCTAGCGTTTTGCTATTGGAACGCGGTGGCGCACCATACAACAACCCAAACATCACGAGGCTCTCGGCTTTTGGAGCCGCTCTCTCTGACCTGTCCGAGACCTCACCGTCTCAGCGTTTCGTGTCGGAAGACGGCGTCATTAACGCACGTGCTCGAGTTCTTGGCGGCGGAAGCGCTCTCAACGCCGGCTTTTACACACGTGCCGGCACCAAATACGTTAGGTTAGTGTGCATGCATGTGTATCATATACATTTTTTATATACATTTCAAGTATGATGAATTTTCATTATTTTATGTGTTTTTGTTTCGACTTTATCTATGCATGCTACTGACTTTATCGTGCACGATCAATGCGGTAATTGAAGTCTTTACATAATATATAGGACCACAAAATATATAAATTTCTTTGACGTTTGATTTACAGTTTTTACAGTTTCTTTCTCATACTCTACACCAACTATCAAATGTATTTCTAAGTCTTTTACTTTAAAATGGCGTTTTGGTTTGTTTGATGCAGAGTAATAATGTATTTTTTTATGTTTAAATAATGTATATTTCTTGTGTGATAGTATTATTCATTAGAAGAAAACTACCGTCGTGATTTCGATCCACTTAGAAAGACATTAATATATGTGGGACACCGGTAATATGTAAACGGTA